CAAGCCGGGCCTCGAGCGTTCCTCCAGCTCGGGTTCCTTCCCGACTCCCGCGAGCTCCAGGCCCTGCTGCCAGCCCCCGGCCCCGCCCTCAGGCGCGCGCTCCGCCCCCCCCTCCCCGTGCGGCCGTTCTAGCCAATGAAGTTCGGGGCCGCGTGCGCAGATTCAAACGGCGGCTCTTGAGGGAGGCTGGGCGCGAGATTCGGCGGTGCTGACAAAACCCTGCAGGAGGCAGCGAGTGCTGCAGAGCTGCTCCAGCGGGGAGAGGGCGGGGTGGGCGCCCGTGACAGCCGCGCCGGGCAGCAGGGACGAGGCGGCGGCGGAGGGAGGGGCGGGTGGAGGGCGGGAGCGCGCCTCTTGACATGTTGAAGGCATCTCTGCCTGGGTCGGGCCGGGGCTAGGAGCGGTGCTGGGCCGGGGGCGGGTCGCGGTCCGCCTCTCTCTCACTCCATCCCGCCTTGCCCTGTCCGGGGCCTGTGTTCCGCGGTCGGCCGCCTGGGAAGGAGCGAGGGAAGCGGCGGGAGGGTCGGGGACGGGCAGCTTTCGCCTGAGGCTGGAGGAGGCTGACCCGCGTCCCCGCCCAGCCCGCGCCTATGCGGTACTTGAAGGATGGCGAAGAGGTCGCGCAGGTGGGTGACATCTCTACCCAGGCCTGGCGGTCCATCCGGGCCCCGAATCTCGATCCTTCCCCTATGGTCCCCCTAGGCCCTCACTGCCCCGGGCACAGGGTTTCCTTCCCGCTGTCCCCTGACCGCTGGAGCCGCTCTGGCAGGAGCGCAGCCGGGACGTGGGGAGGGTCGGGGCCGCTGTGTCCAGGACCTTGAGTCGCGATTGCTCTGGTCGCCCCTTTGAACTGATTCACAGCGCACCCAGCCACTTGTTAGAGGGAGGTTTTTGCCAGGTAAGTTCTGCACTTTTCAGGGGCTACACCACGTTGGTAGAAGTAGTTGTGTCCTGCCTGGGTGACTTGAAAATGGGGTTGTCGTCTGTGACTTTCTGTGCCAGTCAAAACAGGAACTCCGTGACAAACCTGGCCAGGCACCTCTCTGCCACATTCGCTCTCTTAGGTGATGGAAAGTCCTCTGAGACTAGCTGAGGAGCAGAGAACCTGTCTGATTCTTTCTGGAATTGCCATACCCATGTTCTGAGCTTTATTCTTGACATCTTCTGTCACATTGTTACCATCAGGTAAACTTGAAACAATGTGTTTTAGTCACTTTGTATTTTGAGTTCATGTTTGGCTTTGACTGTACGTTCGTTGTAACGGATGGGGCACATTTTTTTATGTTACTGGAGTAACTTTATGCACCTTTTATCTTATGTTACTACGGTAACCTAAATTGTGTGATGTAATGGGATGACACAATCCACAATATCTCAGGTTTCAGTAAACTTGAAAAGGCACTTGTACCTAGATCCACTTTCTCAAAATCCTATTTAAAGTTGTATTTCCGGAGTTGAAATTTAGTACTGGAAGCCATTCATTGCAGATTTGGATTAAAAATAACTACACATTATTTATTTAATAAACTGCATGTAAGATTGTTCTGCAGAAGTCAACCTAAAATGTAATTATGTTAAAATGACCTTATTTGTAGCAGCTACAGAATAGGACAAACACTGAACTGTAACAGATATGTACACACTCGCAGGCACACTATCTTGGCACTGTTAACATTTTGGAATAGATCATTATTTGTATGATGTTTAGCATCCTTGACCTCTACTTAGTGGAAGACAGTAATACCCAGCTTCCCACAGTCAGGACAGTGAAAAATGTTTACAGATGTTGTCACATGTCTTTTGGGGTGAGGGAACAGATTCATGCAGGTGAGAATTACTGATCTAGACCTTCAAGGACACAATATCTCCATCTTCAGAAAATATACAGATTAAAAACTAATTGTGATTGCCTTTTGAAACTTTAAGTATAAAAGTATTCTAAAATTATGCAAAGAGACAAGTGAATCTATCGTCAGTAACTGACTCTTGTGTATATTTAATGTGTGCCATTATCTAAGAATTGATGATAACCTTGCTTGAAACAGTTTTCTTGGCTTATTCTGTCATCAGCATTTAGTTCAAGTTATGGTTAGACACTGATGTGTGACTATCAGAACCCTTTTCTCCCTAACTTTTTTTTCTTTTTGATATCACAGTTGACCCTGTCTCCTAGTTGTAGACTATGGAGAAATAATTTAAATGATTAGTTTGTCTGTACAAATTATTTTATTGACAATACTGTGAGTTTGAGCTCTAAACATTCATTGTTCTGTTAGCTTTCATTTCTTGTCAGCTAAGTCAATTGAAACAGAATGATGTCAAGAGAGATAAGAAGCCTAGGATAATTGTGATGCAGTGAAGCTGTACTTCTGGGAATATACAGAGAGAGGATGTGGTGAGAAATCACCATCTCTGGTGTAATTTTTTTTGGGGGCTTCTTGATTGAGTTTCATGTGCTGTTAAATTTCTTATATATGTAAACATGACTATCTTAGAAGATAATAGAATCTAAAATGTTTTGATGGAGAAGTAACCTATTCATTGAGCATTTTACTCTCTTTTGCTAAGAATCTCATTGTATGTGAGGTATATAATAGAAATGAAGTAATTCAGACATTGCAAGTTGTACTTTGAGATTTCCAGCACGTGCAAATTTGAATGGACAGTATATTAAAGTTTTGCTTAATGGTATAGGCATAAATTCTATAGTATACTTTTTCCTCTGTGATCTGGGAAAAAAAACACCTAAGATCAAAAAACTGTTGCCTTAAATATGAAATAACTGAAGGATACTGGCTTTTGGATTTTTTAAATAGCTGTGGAGTTTGTCACTTAGATTTACATATAGAAAAAGATCATTTAGTATTGTCACTTAAAATAGTTTTAGATCCCAGTGGGGGTGTTACTGGCATAATTACAGTAATTCTTATATTAGGACATCTGTTAATAATATGTTTATGGTTTTAAAGCATATTTACACAAAATAAGTATAGTTTTATTTTTAGAATGTAAAATTTTTATTTACATCTTTTGTGTGTGTGTATGTGGATGCACATGTGCCAAGGTGTGCATGTGGAGCTCAGAGGACAGCTGTCTGGAATTGTTTCTCCCCTTCCACTGTGTGTGTCTTGGGGATTGAACTCAGGTCATCAGGCTTGGCAGCAAACACCTTTACCCATGGACCCATCCCACCAGACCTGGTTTAGTTTTTAAAGGCCAGTTCTATGCTTATAAATAAACTTAAAAATAATTCAGATACTGCAAAGCCTACTTACTAGTTATTAAGGTTTTTACACTTAAGATAACCAATGACTAAATTGAATTGAAAAGAAGAAAGCTAGCTTTCACATAGGATTTTGTTTTTTTGGTGGTGTGTATAGCAACTTTAACTGTTCTTTCCAGAAAAATGAGTTGAAGTGAAAGTATACTGAACTATGAGAAATGACTTTTTAGTCAGCTTTGCCATTAACTGGCAGTACTGTTTTGGGAAAGCAGATAATATCTGTATGGTTTTTATCTACTAGTATAAGAGGTTTGGATTTTGTAGTCTGTAAGGTAGCTTATATGCACATTTTATTTTGATGACTTTTGTGATCATCTTTTTTTCATTTAAAAATACTCATGCTCCAAAGGAATTATAAATGTTCTCACATTGTTTTTGTTTATGAATAGCTAGATAAAAGTCTCTTCAGTATTATTTCAGTGTTTGCATTATTAATGATCCAGGTTGTGTAAAGTCAAATTTGTCCACTGTAATAATGCTCGTTCACAGTCTTGATGTGGAAGTCAATATTCATGTATGCAGTACAGTATATTAACCACTGGGTGGCCTGAGTTCACCTTGGTTAAATCATCTTGGCAAATGTTCATAACCTGAATGCAGTTGAATGCAAAGTAAATATATAGTTGCCCTGGCCTCAAGAAGTATAAGAAAGATTTTTTTTTTTTTTTGAGATGAGGGGGGTGTCTCACTCTGTAGTATAGGCTAGTCTCAACTCACTATCTCACTGTGTAGCCCAGGCTGGATTTAAGTAATGAAAATCCTGCCCCAGCCTCTCAAGTGTTAGGATTACAAACATTAGCCACTAGGTGGCCTTGTATATTTTTTATTATGATAAATATTTCAGATTTGAGGCAATTTGTTATTAAAAATATGATCAAAATGGAGAAGTTTTACTAGAAAAGATTCTGTAGAACTCCTAATGTTTCTCCAATTTCAAACTAGTAGTTACTTTTTCAGTAAAAGTAAATTTAAAATAAATATTTGTATTTTCCTTTATTTAACTCATTTTTACTGTTTTAAAGTTGTTTGTTATTCTGTACTTCCCCCAAATGTTTTATTTTAGGATCCACCAATTGTGAATTTGTGTATTGTTTCACAGGTAAAGTCATGGTTATCATATCCTGTTAGTTTATGCCCTGATGTATAATTTCTGTTATTTTCCTAGCCTAATAAATTACAGATATTTTTGTGCTTCCTTTTGCTATTTCATAATCATCCTTATCACTTTATTCATTCATAAAATTGTTTCTATTTGGATATAGTTTGCTTGTGTATTAGGGGTTTATAAAATATTTTCTAGCAGTTGGAAGGCTGAGGCAGGATCGTGAATTCAAGACCAGCCTGGGTTACATAACAAATTCAAACAGAGGTCTTGTGTCCTTTTTTTTTTTTTAAAAAAAAACAAAAAGCAGTAGGACCTTCTTGTGGTTAAATGAAAGTAGGACATTGGCATTAGCAAGGTTACATGTGAAGATTAATCCTTTACCTTAAAATTTTTTTTACTTACTATTTTTATATGTGTGCAGCCACACTCAGGCCAGAGAGCAGAGGACAACTTTCAGGAATTGGTTCTCTTCTTTCACCATGTGGGTCCTAGCACTCAAATTTATGTTATCAGGCTTGCATGCCAGTGCTTCTACCCTCTGAGCCATCTTGATTGACCAATACTTTCTTTTTATTTTTTAGTAAATTATAGATGTTGTTAGGCATCTGCTTGGGATGACTATTGAAATTGGTACATTTCTAGGATTTTTTTCCTGTTAATACTTACTTGTAAGTTGTGTCATCTTTTTAACAAGTGTCCATAGAAATACCTTGGGGCTAGAGATGTAGCTCTATGGTATATTGTGTAGCATAGGAGAAACTCTGGGTTCACATGAAAACAAAAAACAAAGCCAGTTCCATACACAAAATGTTGATCCCTAAACTAAGTAGAAGATTAAACTCTAGGAAAGTCCCAGTGGTTGAGATGATTCTAAGAACTCTAGTGTTCCCTTACGTTCACCCACTCAACTCAGTTTCCTGAATGTTGAAGGGACTCCATAATGTATCTCACTGTCTGAAACTGATGAGCATGCTAAATACAAAATAGAATTGAGCCTCATGTCGAAATAGAAATTTCTTACAAAGTGTACAGTCAAAAAATAAGGAGTAGGGTTTTAAAATGAGCACCTTTTAGGGAAAATTACTCCTTGCTAACTAGTATTTTTGTCTAACAATTTTGTGCTCATATCTTCAAAATATTTTTATAAGAACCTTAAGGTAAATTTTGTACAGATTAGATGTTATGCAGGTATTCTGTAGCTTTTCAAGATTTATGCACGCACATTACTCCTAAATTAA